GTCGGTTGGTTATGTCGTTGAATTGTTTATTGAAGTTTGACTAGTTGATCAACAGAATAACTGAATATGCCGCTGAGTTGTCCAAATTTGTTTGATGAATTCGTTCCGTTTTACCGCTAGAAGTAATGATCCTTTGTCGATGTCTTCGTTGATTTGTTCTTCTTTCGTTTAGAATCGGTTATACAATGTCACTCGAAATTTTATCCTATCACGTTGGGGACTCCCTTGTAAGACTCAAAAGTGGTTGTGAAACCCTTTTGCTGAATGGAGAAGGGGATGGTGGAGTTGCAAGCTCTGCCCTTCAATGGTATCAGAACAACAAGACCACCAAGCTCAGCTTGGCAGTTTATATATCGTGATAGAGGATAGTTCGAGATGAAGCTTTTGATGAGTCGTATAACGGTTAGATGTGATGGTGATGTCGGTGATGATGTTGATGTTGATGAGGGTTATTGTTGGTAGAAGTGGTGATGGTAATATTGTTGAGAGTGAGGCTTGAACGCGCAACCTTGAGTTGATGGTATTTAAAGTTTATGCTTCGACCAGGAATGGAACGGAGGACCAGAACAGGTGGATATAAGGTGGAGTTAAAGTGGAGTTAAAGTGGAGTTAAAGTGGAGTTAAAGTGGAGTTAAAGTGGAGTTAAAGTGGATGTCTTGAATGGGAATTGAACCCAGGTCCTTGTGGTTGGGGTGTATGAAGCCAAAAAGCAGTGGATTTCAGGCAAAGGTGAGATAGCTTAGTGGTTATGAAAAAAAGTAATGTTGATATTTCTACACTATAAACTGTTATAATATATATAAGGGGGGTTATAATTATAAAACCTCAATACTAGGTAGCTAATAATATTGAAGAGTGACCAGTGATGTAGTGTTATGGGGGGGACTGACTACAGAGCATCTGATGAGGAGGGAATACAACTGGCAGGCAGAGGCCTCCTTATATAGACAAAAGTGAGGGAATTTAGCTCCAGGGTACATGCAGTTGAGGGAATTTAGCTGGCCTGAATATCCAATGAGGGAATTTAGCTAGTGATAGCACAGCCTTGAGGGATTTTGGCTGGCCTACAAGGTCCTACTACAAAGGAATGCATGTGCACCAACAAAGGAATTCAATATGTAATATGAGCTAATAAAGGAATTCAATATGAAAAAAGGAACTCAATATCCAATATGCATCCAGTATTCAAAATGAGCTATAGTCAGAGTAAAGAATCCAAGAGATATCCTGTGATAGGTTGAAATAGGTGTAACTTCTGAACTAATAGAGATAAGGGGGTAGTTGTAGTGGGTGACTAGGGGTTATTTTAACTCAGGAATCCATTTTTGATGTTAATTTTACCTTATATCTGATGTAGAAAAAGATGAGAATAAATTTTTATATTTTTAGCGTAGAAACACAGGAATAACTACCACAATGCCAAGGAGAGTGTCGGGATCGTGTGCCGAGGAGTTTGGGAATCTTTTCAGGAAGAGTGATTCAAAGGAGTCGACATCGCCCACCACTACAAGATCGTCAACGTGAAAGAACAGATAAGATTTCTGTTTTTCATTGATGAAGACGCATGGATCGGCAGCTGATTGTTGGAAGTTTATTTCATTGAACCACGAGATGAGAGTATTGTACCAATTCATGGGAGCTTGTTTCAGACCGTAAAGAGATTTCTTAAGTCTTAGGTACGGAGCCTTTCTCTTAGAACCTTCTGGAGTTTTTATGTAGATTTCTTCTTCCAAAGGAGCAAACAGGAATGCGCTTTTCACATCGAATTGTCGAATGGAGAGTTTGTTGTCAATGGCAAAAGTGAGGAGTATGAGAAGAGAGGTGAATTTTCCAGTCGGAGCAAAGGTTTCTCCAAAATCTTGGCCGGGTATTTGCATGAAGCCTTGAATGCACAGGCGCGCTTTCTTTCTTACAGCAGAAGAGAGGGTCGAAGGCTTCGTTTTGAAGATCCACAATGTTCTCAGGAATGACAAAGGTTGATCAAAGAAATCGTCCCATACGTCATGACCTTCAATGTTATTGAGTTCTTCGTTGGCTGCCTTCTCCCATTCAACACGCTTGTCGGACTTCATAGCCATTTTAAATGAGGTAGGATCACCAGTTAGGTAAGAGTATTTGGCAGGCTTCACTTTCGCGGTACAGTCACGCAGAGTTTTAGGCTGAGGTACTAGAGAGGATTCCACATCGTCTTCATCTGACGATGACTCATCGGGCTCAGTGGAGGCTATAGACAAGGAGTCAGACAGATCGGTGACTGGATCATTGGCATTTGATGTTTCAGTTGGTTCTTTGTCTTCGACAGTTGAAGCACCCGTGTCTGAGTCTTCTTCAAGAATGATGAGATTGTCCAGATCATCCTTCGGATCTTGAGGAGAGAAGTCCAGGAATTGAACATTTTTGGTCTCTACTATTTTTCCATTGTCAGATAGAATGCGGTAAGATCGCAATTCCTCATTGTAGCCAATAAGTTTTCCAAGCTCGCCTTTGGGAAACAATTTTAAGCCCGGCTTTTCAGGCTGAATGAGATAGGACAGTCTAATACCAATGGGTTTGAAGAAGTTAAGAGGTAGGTCTCGGTCCTTGAAGATCTCGAAAGGATATTTTTTGATCGATGAGCAGGAATTTGATTAAGTACAAGTGTACAAGACTTGACAACCTTGTTCCATAGATCCTTTCTCAGCCCTGAGTCCTTGAAAACAGCTCGCATGGTTCCAAGATAGTACGATTGAATCACTTGGCGAGACCGTTCTGTTGAGGTGTGTAGGCATCGGAGTATCAAGCTCTGATTGCATGTGCATTATAGTAATTCATCAACTGATGGTTTACAAATTCAGAGCCTCGGTCAGAGTGTATGACTGTAGGAAGGTGACCTATTTGTTTCCCTTCCAGTTCTAAAGCTTGAATTAAGAAGTCGGCGGCATCACTTTTCCTTTTCAGAGGAATGGCTGAGCAGAATATTGAGAAGGAGTCTACCACAGTCATGAAGTATCTATGTCATTCTCTTGATGAGGGACTTATAGGACCTACCAAGTCCAAATGAATTTCTTCGAAAGGCTTGGTTGCAGCGGATCGTCGCTCATGGAATGAAGCCTTTTTGATCTTGGACACAGCGCATGCATCACATGTGGTAGCGGCCTTAACTGGGATACCAAGTTTGTTTCGGAGGCGATGATAGCTAACATGTCCTAGAGACTTGTGGAGATTCTCGCTTGTTGTCATGAGAGATTGATGATTGTGAAACTCTAGGCTCGGAAGATTGCCGATGTATCTTCCTTTCATGGCAAGACAGTTATTCTTAAAGATATAGAATTCATTTTTATTGAATTGGACATTGAAGTCACTGAGGACAAGGCATCAAACAGGTAAAAGGTTTACAACAATGTCTGGCACAAATAGGACGTTGTCGAGCAAGAATTCACCACACTTGTTGACCAGCTTAATCGTTCCACTCCCTTTTATCTTTAGTGATTCAGATCCAGAACTTGTTCTGACTGTTCCGTCCTCTTTGAGAGTGAGATGAACGAACAGATGAAGATTGGAGGTCATATGAGCAGACGATCCCGAGTCGAGAATAAAGAAAGGGGAAGGAGAGGATAGGCAGGAGTGAAAACTGCTGACAGTGGTTTCCGATCGATTGCTCTGATTCCTCGGAGGTCTGAGGTGAGGATAGAGCATGTAGCATCTGGACTGAGGGTGTTTCGCTACACTACGGGTGCTGGGTTTTGAAACATTTCCGAAGCTTGTTCGGAAATGTTTCGAAAGATGCGCCCGCAGGGGCGGACATCCTGGACCTTGGTCCAGGTACATTTCACAATGTGATTCGAAAGAGATTCCGATGGTCTTTCGAAGAGCTTTTGATTGTTTTTCGAAATACTTTCGGAAAAGTTTCGGAATTCCCTAGTTTTGAAGTCACCTCCGAAGCGCGACTTCAGAATGCTTCCGAAATAGTTTCGAAAGACTTCCGTAGTGATTGGGAGGTTTTGGAACTCTTCTGGAACTGTCACAGTTCTGCAGTGGCACTCTTGGCTGGCTTTTGGATTGGCACCCTTGTCTCTTATAAGGGTTGCCCCGTTCTATTGGACTGTTCATCTTCAGTCGTATTCATCGTTCATGCTCAGATTTTGTATTTCTGCTACGTATAATAGAGAGAAAAAATAACAACTCCATACAAAAGATTCAAAGAAAAAGAAAAAAAAAGATGAAAAACATTTCACTTCAATCAATCCCAACTCCATACAAAAGAAAAAGCTGAAAAAAGACGAAAAACATTTCAGTTCTTCAATTTGATCGATCATTGGTCGATCGATTGGATTGAAATGAAAGAAAGCATGAGAAAACAGTAATATAAAGAAACGTATATTGGACTGAGCTTGAGTAAATGGTGGTAGTACTGGAGGGGTGCTTATGTGACGGTAGCAGAGGGGATGACCAGGATTCGGAATAAGAAATCAAGCACTGGGCAGTTTTTTGGATCTTGGTGAGGTGAGTGGGGTGAGCGAGAGAGACTGAGAATTTGTCTGTTCTTTGAATATAGTGCCAGGTTAATGTAAAAAGAACAGGAGATGACTTATAAGAGAAGTTGAGGAGAGCGCAAGGAAGTCGTCAGAGGGGGAGAGGAGGGGAAATTCAGGATGAAGAAGCAAGAGGGACCGAGACACCTTGCTCAACAATTGAGCGTTTTAAATACTTTTCAAAAAAAAAATCACATCAGTCTGGTTCCTCCAACCAAAAAAGTTTCGAAGCACTTTCGACACTCTTTCGAACCAGTTGGAGAAACCGAAGCATGGTTCGAAAGTTTTACGAAAGATTCACACCTCTCACCAAAGAACTTCCGGAATAATTTCCGAAGTGTTTTTTTAAAGTTCCGATGCAGCAATATCCTCATAAAACCCGGAATTTCACCAGATCAAAATCTTAAGCAGAAGACTTCGAAATAGCTTCGAAATTTTTTTCGCAACTTTCGTAAAAGTTTTGATCTTTTTACGAAAGCCGCTTTGAAATCACCAAGTCCATACATTTTGGACATCGTTTCGAAGCAAAACCTTAAAAGCACCCCCGTAGTGTAGAGTGTTGTGCGCGGTAGGTTTGCATTTCCCGGATGCGTCGGTGAACAGAGTTACTTGAGAAGGAACAGCCGAGGATGAGATCTTCTTGTTGTTTCCATGCACCCGAAGATGGTCCAACACCAGGTCAGGAGTCATTTCGAGACCAGAGTGAGTAACAGCAGTAGATAGACCGTTCAGCTCGGTAGTCTTGGGGAGTTTCTTCAGAATCTCATATCCAATAACGTCAGAGTCGATTTGAATACCGACTTCGTGCATTTGGCCAATGGCTGATTTGACACGTGTGATGAAGCCGTCGATATTGGAGTCTTCATAGGGAAGAAGAGAGAAATGGTTCCAGACACGAGCACGATTGGCTGCTTGGGTGGAAGCAAAGTGGTCAACAATAGAATTCCAGATTTTGACTGCATCGGTGGCATTCTCATGATTGATGACATTGGAATGAACGGAAGGATCGAGTTTAGACATTAGAATGGTCCTGACTTGGAGTTCTTCTTCAGCAGTGAGAGCTCCCTTGCCAGTGATTACTTGATCCTTGACCTTTTGCAGTTCAAGGAAGTTGACGACTCGATTATTCCACATGGAGAAGTTGTCTTGTGTGAGAAGGGGTATGGCTTCGATGGCCGTCTTCAGAATCATAGCGTTGAGTTTTTCCATTGGAGGAGATGTAGGAGTTTTGAGGTCAGTTGTTTTAGAGGTTGATGCAGAGGTTTTGGAGTTGTCGTTTTCCGTCATAGGCAGTGAAGCGATCGATTTCGACTGTTAATCGTGAGAGAACTTGAGAGTTTTATTGCTAAGAAACCAAAACCAGACTGCAGACCAAGACCAAGACAAGTTAGAATTCAGAACATAGAAAGAAAAAAGAGAAAGTAATGAAATGAAGAATGAATTTACCACAACAGAAGAAGAATCTTAAGAGAAACAACTGAATAAGGGAAGATAGGAGAGAGGAGATCACAGGACACAAGACTAAAAGGAAGATAGAGTTAGTTTAGGTCGACAGTCGAGGGAAGTAGTTATTTTCTCACCAAAGTGGATACAGAAGTGATCCAAAAGATGATGGTGAGTTGAAAGGGTCGGAGAGAGTGTAGATGATGTTGACAGTGATTGAGATACTGAGTTCAAGGGGAAAGTTGACGATGGTGAAGATAGTGAGTTGATATTGATTCAAGTCGAAGGCAAGATGACAGAGGAGGATGGTATTGGAGTGGTAGAGTGAGTGTGATTGGACTTGGGGAAAATAATAGAGAGCGGATAGGAAGGGAGTGAGGAGATGAGTGTTTTTCGGAGCGGGAGTAACGGAAGGAGAGGAAGGAGAGTTAGGTTTTGAGTTGATGATTAGTTGAGATGGGCTGCGGAATTCTGGATGAAAGAAGCTTTCACAGATGGATCACGAGGATTTCAACATAATGATCACTACATGATTTCAGTCTATAAAACCCTCTGCAATCACCCATGCTCTTTGCTAACCGGTTGTCCACCAAGGGGCATAGAGTTGACTCTATGTGATTCTTTCTTGAACAGTGGCCAGATAAAAGCTTTTTTACTCACAAAGAACTGGGCATCCATATTATTACACATAGGGGGTTTCAAAAATTGACTTTTGAACATCATCCTAGTAACCCACCATCATCACTTTCAAAAAAGTTGCAAGGAATTTTCCAACAAAAGATGGCTTTGAATCCCACCATTATGCTCAAGATTGGATGACCTCTCCCATTGGTGTCTGAGGGCCCTGCGGAATCAGTGATTTAAGAGAAGCTATGTATGTATTCCTGGTAAAAATCTAGAATATTTGGGTCTAAATTTACTTCTGGAAGCACTACAGATTGGGGGTTCACGTAATTTTGTAGGGGGGTGTACATAGCTGGGGTGTGATTACATAAGCCACCTCCCCGGAACCCATCTTTACAGATCTTTAGAGCATCTCCACCGCAAGGGACTATACGAGTCCCTAAAATTTTGACCTCGCGCGACTGCGGCGCAGTTTTAGCTTCTTGTCCAAAGGCTGCTTTGTACCGGGCAGTCTCAGAGTAGCACCTTTTGAATGTGAAAGGGAATCCCCCGTAATTCCCCCCGCCCCCCCCCCCATATGTCATCATCCATTTGGAGCAATCCACTACAGGCAAAACCAGATCAGTCAATCGGCATCCATTAAACAAACAAATCACAATCATGGAACTCGACCCAGCCGTCCTGGAAATAATAATTTGGCGAAGGCAACTTCTTGCAAGGTCCAGATCTACAATCAATGCTGTCCTGCAAGTCACACCAATCCTACTTGAAGACAGCAAAGACGAGACCAAAGATCCTTCGCATGGTGGTTCAAAGCCCCGAAAACAACCCAACTTGCCCCGAGACTTTGAAGGAAGCTACAAGCGGCTTCACGAGCATTACTTCTCCTCACATCCTCTGTACGACGAACACATCTTCCGACTCCGATTTCGAATGGGTTGTCCTCTCTTCTTGAAGATTGCCGATGCCGTTGAGAATTTCGACAGTTACTTTACTCATCGACCTGACGCGTTGGGTAAACTTGGAGTCACGCCGCTTGTGAAAATAACAGCAGCTTTACGAATGCTTGCCTACGGTGCTGCAGCAGACTGCAACAATGAATACCTTCAGCTCTCCGAGTCGACCTCCTTACAGTGTATGGACCGATTTTGTACGGCTATAGTCTCTATCTACTCAGCAGATTATCTTCGACACCCAACAACCACCGACTTGCATCGACTCCTCACCACGGGTGCCAAACGAGGATTTCCGGGTATGCTAGGATCACTTGATTGTATGCATTGGGAGTGGAAGAACTGCCCATCCGGTTGGACTGGACAATTCCAAGGAAAAGAGAAGAGGCCAACCATCATTCTTGAAGCGGTTGCATCTAGCGACCTGTGGATCTGGCATGCCAGGTTCACACAACGACATCAATGTCCTCGACACATCACCTCTATTTGCCAACCTGTTGAATGGTCAAGCTCCCCGATGCGAATACGAGATCTGCGGGAAAGTCTACCAGCAAGGATACTACCTCGCCGATGGAATCTATCCGGATTGGCCGACATTTGTGAAAACAATGTCTCAGCCTCAGGGAGCAGAACAGAGGCATTTTGTTAAAATGCAAGAAGCCTGCCGCAAAGACGTCGAGCGTGCCTTTGGGGTACTCCAAGCTCGATTTGCCGTCGTTTCGCGTCCTGCTTGTGGCTGGAAGCATCACAACCTCAAGAACATCATGAAGGCGTGTATCATCCTCCACAACATGATTGTGGAGGATGAACGAGATATGTACTTGGAGTATAGCTACGACAATGCTCCTGCAGCAGTTGTCACACCAGTCGAGGTATCACAAGGAGAGACTTCAATCTCTTTTGCTGAATTCATCGATAATTATCATTCCATGAGAGATTCTAGTGCTCATTTTCAGTTACGCCACAATCTCATAAAACATCAATGGGCAATTAAAGGACGGCAGGAAGAGGACAAAAATGAAGAAGAATCTTAATTGTTTCCCTTAATGTGTGTTGATTTTCGCTCAATATTTACCTCATTGGATTTTGTTTTTTCGTGAATTTCATGCCCTATCGTTTCTCTCTCACAGCTAGCTGTAGTAAAACCGCAGCCAGTCGATCACGGTCCCTCTCTTGCATTTGATTCTCCCTACAGATCACAATACTCTTCTTTCAATTGATTGTCATGATTTTAGCGGTGCAATTAGGACTACAATAAAGATTGACCAATCTTCTTCAAAAATAAAAGACAAGAGTTCATGAGTTGATTGAATGAGACCACATTGGTGACGAGTTGATAGAATGAGACCACATCGGTGACCGAGTTGAGTGAGAGAGCCGCTTTTGGGTTGGCTAGGAGTTGAAAGGACGAGTTGAGCGAGTCGTTTGCGACTCGCTCAACTCGAAGAGAGCTATGCTAGCTTAAGCAGGGTTGAGGGAGTCGTTCTCGGACTCTTCCTGGAATAGAGGCTGCTAGGTTTTTCGGGTTGGCAAGGTGTTGAAAGGACGAGTTGAGCAGAGTCGTTCACGACTCGCTCAACATGAAGAGAGGCTGCTATGCTAGCTTAAGCAGATTTGACCAAGTCGTTCGCAGACTCTTCCTGGAATAGAGGCTACTAGCTTTCTTATTATGTGACCGATCAATTTCATTGCAATAAACATGAAAATGAATGATGGAAGACCACATAAACAGAAAATGATTGCTCAGGAGATTGGTTAGGAGAGATGATTGAAGCAAGCAACAACAATCAAGATAAAGAAAAGAAAGCAAGCCTAAAAGAGAAATATAAGGAGAGATGATTCAGCCAAGCGACAGCAATGAAGATAAGAAACCGATCGACATTAATTGGAGCTGGAGCGAGCCTCCTCTCGGAGTGATTTGAGAATTGCAGCCCTTTTGAGCTTGAAATATTCATTTTGCTCATCGTCGAGGCCTTTGAGGTGTGTGTTCATGATTGCGAGCTGAGATGTAGTGGTGCTATTCTGAGCGATGGCCTTGAGCGACTGAGAGTCGTTGTTAAAGATGTCGTTGAGTCGTTTCGATTCAGAGGCAATTTGACCATGAGCACTTGCGACTTCCTCCTTCCAAACTTGCTCCTTGGCTGCGATTTGCATGAGCGTCTTAGCCTTTTTTTTTCCAATGGGTCGCTCCATAGGTGAAGGATCCGTGCCTGTACCTTCGAAGTCAGTGACACTGACAGGTTCCGATGGTGCTGGTGTCGATGCGAGTTGATTTGATGATGGCGGCTCGCTACTTGGGCTTCGAGCTCGCTTTTTCTTTGCAGTTTCTTTATGATCGTTATCACGGCAGTACGAATTCCACTTGGGGCTTTTAACGAGAAGGTTGTAGCATCGGAGATGTTTGAAATGTGTTTGTTGATCCGAGGCGTACAGTGGGTGGACCGTTATTTTTGGCTGCTTGTTTTGGATTCCAGAGCTTCAAAGCACAAACTTGAAGTCACAAGAATTGGTGAAGTGGTGCAGAATAGGTCCCAAAGAATGAATGTGAAAAAATAAAAACAAAAAACAAAGTTTCAAAATTTGTGAAAAATAAAAAATAAAATTTATTTTTCTCAAAAGCTTTGAAATTCATTTTGGGGGAGTGAGAGTGCTGAGAGAAAGGAAGATTGGGATGTTAGAAAAATGATTATAAATGAAAATTTTGCAAAAATTGGTTTCCAGATGACTTCAAACAGCTGTTGAGTGGGGCATTCACCAGCCCACATTGCAGTCAAGCACTAGAATTTACTGTTTTGGCTCCAATCTGGACAACCAACCTGGCCAAACCTTTTTTGGTTCCAATTTTTTTCATTTATAATCATTCTTCCCATTTTCCACTCTTTCTTTCTCTCAGCACTCCCACTCCCCCAAAATCAATAACAAAGGTTTTGGAAAAAAACATTTTTATTTTTTATTTTTCACAAATTTTGAAACTTGATTTTTTGTTTTTATTTTTTCATATTCATTCTTTGGGACCTATTCTGCACCAATTCATCAAGTCTTGTGACTTGGAGTTTGTGCTTTGAAGCTGTAGAACCCAAAACAAGCAGCCAAAAATAACGGTCCACCCACTGTACAGGCGGAGGGCTCGGTTCAACTGATCCTCAGCGGAAGCTCCACTCTGGTTGAGCCCTTTGACCGTATGAACAATACCACGAAATTTATTGATTGACGGCTGCAAATTATTGCTCCATTGTTTTTTTAAGCTGGAAACGGGCCGAATCGGTCTTGGTACAGCCTCGTGATATACCGTGCTGATTCGTTGCCAGAAAGTCCCTCCATCTTGATTGGTTCCAACGGCAGGGTCTTCGGATACCTGAACCCAGGCGCGGCATAGCTCATAATCTTTGGGTTCTGTGTAGTTTGGAGCTTTCTTCTTTCCTTCATTTTCTGGATTTGCATTATCTGATTTAACAAATAGAAAAAAAAAATTAGATAGATAGAATAACAAAAGTTTCAATGGATGCGAAAAGAATAGCTCACCATTGTCATTGTTTTGATCACCATTATCATCTTTGTCATTGGTGGTCAGGTCAATGGTGTGGAACTACTCTTGGGATGAATAGAGCTTGAGAGGGATGAGTGCTTTATTGGGCTGCCTCTCTGAGAACAAGAAAATATAAGAGTATGGACTCTTAAGGAAAAAGGTGTGGCTGTGGAGATTTCTTGAGGATGGTATGTCTAATATTTCTTATGTTTACTAGTCTAAATATACTTGTTCACAAATCAAGGTATCCCAAATGTTGATGGGCAAATACCTGGCTAATAATGGGTGATCAGTTATCTGAATTTCTGGGGCAGGCTCTGATGTGGAACAAATCAAGAGGGGAAAACAAAGCTCCTTATATACAAAATCTGGGGAGTGGCCAATTTGTGGTTGGAAGATGGATGGAACAAAATGGAACAAAGAATGAACAAGGAAGAAAATTGAACTATGAACAATGTGGCCTAATTTAGTGTGGCACTAAGATAAGATAAGACTAGACTGAAACCAAAGAAAGAGCCAAGCTAAGATAAGGCAATGAATTCATTCTGAAACAGAGAGAGGCTTGGATAATCTTATCAAGGGGAAGAGGTGGGGGTAATTATTTCACCCAGATGGGGATTGAACAGACAATGGGAAGAAAGGGCCAAAAGAGGGCTAGTATGAAACATGGCTGTTGTGTGGGAATTCTTGGCATAAGATGGAAGGAGATAAGAGATAAGGAATATATTTTAGAGGGGTTTGAGGTTATATTGAGAAGGGGTACTAGTGTGTAGCTGGTGTGTGAGCTAAGTCTTATCAATAATGAACTAGGAATTTGGTCTTGGTTTTCATCTGAGGAGTTTCAGAGGTGTGGGAGATGTTATTATCCATGAGGGGGATACTTGTGAGGGTTATTGGTGTGTTACCTTTGTTTGAGGGCCTGGGTAAACTCTTGAGGGGCCTTGAGTCTGTGATTCTTGTGTGATATGTAGTCTTGCTGTGCCTTGAGGTTCAGGATTGGCTTACCACAACGGGGCAGCTCGGTCTTCTTGGCATAGTGTAGTGTAGAGTGTATATGGGTTGGTCAATAGGTGATGGATGTCTGTGGTAGGGGATATTGGTCGGGGGTTGTGTAGAGGATGAGGTGGAGTATCACATAAAATGTGATGTGTGATATGTGAACCAGAGTAGCTAATTGAGGAGCTATGCGGTCCTATATCTGGGAATCCAACACACCTCAGCGTGTCGGGGACAGCAAGGGCTCAAAGATTAGTTCACTGGGTCCTGCTGCGTAGGCGCAGGCCCAAGTGCTCTTCTCAGGGAAGCGAGGTTTCACCTTAGCTTCTGCGAGGAGCTAGGGTGTAACGCTTCTGTACATTTTCAGCGGCTGGTTACCAGCCACCTAGGCGATCCCGGGAGCCGACCACTTGGGTGGCTCCCCAAGACCGCCGTGTGTGGGGTGTAGGGGGGCGAGCGGGCTTTGAGACACTGTTGTTCCGTCCCGAGGGATCAGCTGTGTCTTGTCCGGCCAAGCGGAGGGTGGACGAGCGAGTCGCTGCGCCCCCAAAGCAGAAGCGCACACCGGAGTGTGCCCTGGAAGGTGTCAGGCCCATATCTCGAGCTTGGAGCTCGAGCCCAACACCAACGCTTCTATACCCCTGGTACTCTCCTTTCCTCACCGGCCTAGTTGGTGTATTATGGGACCTGGAGAACAGGAGAAGGCGTAATGAATTCATTGCATCCACGCTTCTTCTAGGCTGTTGACCCGCGACAAGGATTCTTCCAAGTCACGTTCTGAGTAGTCTCTGAGATAAAGCTTATAGCAGTTTGAGGTCCAACGACCGAGAGCACATATCTCCTCTACAGGAACCCCGATGGCGTATTGCAAGGAAGTACCGCCGACCCTGAAAGAGTGTCCCGTGATCCCTTGGTAGCCGTGTTTGCTCCAGACTTGTCCCAACGTTCTGACTACCTTAGATTTAACTAAGTTGATTCGGCCGGCAGGGGAGTTGAAGCCAAACAGTGGCACATCGTTGGGTCCAGCTTCCGCGAGTCTCCATTTTACGGCGGCCACCGGACAGAGCATGTGATTCAGGCTTTGGAGGTGGATGGTCTGGCTCTCGCCTGGAGCACAGGTCTTAGCCCCCCTGACTTCCAGGGCGGCATCTGATAGAACCGGACGTCCGACGTGAACAACGTTGCGGACCACCTCATGATTCCTTCTTCTCGATCGGAGGTGAGTTCCGACAACCTGGCCATCCCCCAGAAGGCGGTAATGGCTAAGTCTAGCACCGCTTTGAGGGCTGCTAGGAAGGAGGGTCCCGGTAAGTGAGACCAAGTGCTTCAGCATCACCGGGGCTTTGCGAGGTCGCTTGGGGGATTGTGCATCGGCGTGAGCGGAAGACCTCAACAAGACGGCGATTTTGGCTTTGGCCTCCTGAGGATATAACACGGAGTGGTAGAGGTGCCAGGCCTGTAATCCGAAGAGGTACTTGGTGAGCGTCTTGGATGCCATGTCTTGCGGGTTAGAGGTCGTCGAGTTCCTTCCGGCCCAGTAGCAGAATTCGTAGAGCTCGGAAGAGCTTACTGGGAGAGAGTATTCACTCTTCCCGGTTGCTTCTTGGAACTTCCCGAACTTGTGTACCGCGGAGTTATAGCTCAGAAGAGTATTCCACTTGTAACCGCCTAGGAAGTGGATATCAAGTGCACTGGGTAGTTTCTTGGTGCTCCCGAATTTGAGGAAGTCTTTTATTTTGGATAAATCCATTGGAAAGGTTTCATGAGGAGAGGAGAAAAGAACAACTCGGCAGGGTGTAAAGGATGCTTGACAAAAAGGGCAAAAAACAAACAATTGGAAGGTGGTTGCGGATGCATAGGGTAAAGAGCTATATACAATGTTTGTAGTTGCTGTAACCCGGCGTTTCAGGTTCAGTCCCATCTGCTGGCTTGAAACATCCTTTCCCCTAAGTCCTCGGGAAGCTGTATGAATACCTGATGTCTCTCATTGTGTCCCGTGCGGTCTCCCCTAGATAGGGCGTCGGCGATGTTCTCTGCTGACAAGACTCTCTTGGCCACGAGGTCTAGTTGAGACGAGACTAACATATCTTGTATGCGTTTCCACTCTTCATTGACGTGGAAGTCTCTTGACTTCCTACTTCTTACAGCTTCCTCCGACGTCGTGTTGTCGGTCCAGACAATTATCGTCTTGCCTTCCTTGATTTTCAACTGGTTGATCATGATTAGGCCAATCGTTATCGCCGCCGTCTCTAGCCAGGCGATGTTTTGCTTTGGTGCCGGTCCTCCGTTCCAACCAGTCTTGAGTTTAAATTGGGCCCACCTTTGACCAATAGTTACTCCTATTCTGTAACTCGTCGAAGCGTCACCCATCCACCCAATTTCTGTTGGGTCCGGGTTTTGTATTAAGCGTGTATTCTTGAATGCGAGCAGTGTTTTTAGCCAGTATGCGAGGTCTTTTTGGACGTCGGATGGTATTGGTAGTTTCGTATTCTTATGTACCCAACTGCACATCCATCTATACAACCCGCATAGGTAACACCTTAGCTGGGGTAGCATATAGGAGACGTGATTTAACTGTCCCGTTAGTGCTTCTACTTCGTTGAAGGAGAATTTTGCCTTGGTTTCGAGGAACTCGCTGATCCGCTTGATTCTTTGGGCTAGCTTCTCTTCCGGGAGGCGGACCGTTTTCTTGTGCGCGTCCCAGATGAAACCGATGTATTTTTGTTCTTTCTTGAAAGGAGAGATTTTAGTGGGGTTTGTCCGGACTCCCAGCTCATCAGATCGCTTCATGATTTCATCCATTTCAACGGCTGAATCTAGTTCTTTGACAAAGAGGTTGTCATCAACCCACCTGAAGATTTCTACTAGGTCGAATTCGGATAGCATGATGTGTTTCCATGCGTCCGCTGGCCTCCCGAATGAGCCGCAGCCTGCTACTCCTCCAAAGGCAATTCTTGTATCGATTATGATGTTTCCGTCGAAGTCTTTCAGCATGAGAAATGGCCACTGGTCTTCCGCCGTTGGGATTTGGCGATACGCCTTTTCCCAGTCGAAGATAGCTAGTAGGGATGGTTTCTTCCTTCCTCTTAAGAATCGGGCTACGGCCTTGTAGTCGTCCCATGTCGTTTCGAATTCGTGTTTGTTAACAAATGAGTTCACGGACGGGATTTCTTTGTCTCCGTGTGGGAAGGATAAATCATTGATTGCCCTGAACGAGCCGTCACCATTGGTTACCGCTCCAAGCGGATTGGTTCGGAAGAATCCATAACGGGCATGTACTTGCTCTGGTAAGTATGGGCCGAACATTCTCTTAGCTTTTATCTCTTTCTTTATGGATTCTTCGATCTTCGATCTGGCGAGTAATGCTGAACTATGGTTAGGGGGAGTGAAGAAAGGCGTTTTGCTTCCTAGATTGTGTATCGGAATGCCTTGGCAAAAACCTTGCTCGAATCCGACGAGTACATCGTCGAATTCGGCTGTGAGATTTGCTTTCTTTAAAGCATCCCTCCATTCGGGGATATTCATGTCACAATTGATGCCACTTGGCCAAGAGACTTCGTCGGGTGTGACCCCTGGATGAAAACTCTCATTGCTCGTTTCATCACCGGGCTGTTCACTTAGGCTTGTCTCACTGTATTCGGGGCGCAATAAATTTATGTTTATTCAGAATTGTATTGCTTATGAAATTTGGAATAGGAACTATATACAAGGTTCAAGTATCTATGTAACTACTTTTTTTTTTCCCGATGAATCATCGAGTTGCAACTCCACAAGACTCTCTCCTAGGATAAGGCTAATGTGATAGATGATTGGGGTAGAAGGAAGGAAAAGGATTGAGAGAGACTTGGGAAAGGTGAAAGGAAGTCGAGAGGGGGGAGTGTAACCTACGGTCCGACATTGTTGTTCTGGTGGCGGTTCTGGCCTCCTCCTTGTCTTTGCTCCGCGTAGTTCGGGTTGAAATTTTTCCCTTGATAACCGGATCCTCTGGTAGGACGGTTCTCTCTCGGTTTGGATGGAAGATTGTTGGTCGGTGCGGAGGGTGTGGTTGATGTTGCTTTGACGGATTGTTGTTGGCCGTTCGTCTTCTTGATTTGGTTTGACCCGGTATGTGGGTCCCACCCGCTTCTCACTCCTCCGATTGCGTACGGGTTTGAGTCGCGGAAAGAGAGCTCGTCAAAGCGTCTTGCTTCGGCGTATGCTGTATCATAAACCTCCTGTCTGAATATGGATATGTCTGAGAAGGATGAGACGCCATTCCGAACCACTCTGTGGGCGAAGGTGTTGGCGCGGATTCTGATGTTGTAACGTAAAGCCGTCATAAACCCATCCTTCCTGAGTATCTTGTCGCAGTTAGCTATGTGTAACACAATCCACTCGCCTAGGGTTTCGAACTTATAAACGTCCCTGATTGTAATCGTGAACTCTTCATAGTTCAGACTCCAGTCGCTGTAATTCATCAGCCATTCACTTGGGTACGGGTAGCCGGTAGCGGAGTCCTTTCTCTGTTGAGTTGTCGTCGGTTTTGGTTCTTTTCTCAGTGTGGTATGAGAGGGCCGCATCTTGCCAGGAATTGTTGAAGATGGTTAACGGGATCGGTCCTTTGAGTTCCGTGATGTTCTTCTCGAAGTACGGTGTGAAGCCGACGTCTTCGTGAGAGTTCTTGTCGCCCCAGTGGAAGTTGGTTCCTCCAGCCGTGGTATTCTTCCGGGACCCTTTTGCTGGTTGTTCGGCCATGGTTGCTCCGAACATCAAAACGGAGTCGGTTGTTTTAGCGGCAACGGGGCCTCTACATGGTGCAGGAAAAAAGGGGGGGGGGGGAACAGAGTGTCAGAATCTTGGACTTATGAATTTCCACTAATTTCTGTTCTTTTGTTAACTTTTTTTTTTTTTTTTTGGCTTACCCGGTAACTGCCGTCGCGTATAAGTTATAGAACATATCCGATCTTGTCTTATCGCCTTCTTCATCTGCCTGAAGGGCTTTTTTGAGGAACTTCGCTATCACTTCGTCTCTGAGTCGCTCCTGCTTGTTCGATTCCGATATAATCTGGATATCGTCCTTATCATTTACTTGGGAAGGAAATGCGAACATTATCAATTCCACGTCTTTTTTTTTTTTTTTTTTTTTTTTTACTTACTATGTTTTGCTCCTAACAAGGTAGATAACTCGTTTGGTTGTTTTCTTGGCCTTTGGTTGCTGTCTGGGCCGGGTGGGGCTGAATCTTTAGCGTTGGTGCCGTTGGGGTTTGACTTAGAAGGTCTGCTCCTTTTTTGTGTTTCTTTCGCGTTTGACCTCTCAGTCGTTGTCGCGGTATGGTCTACGGATGATGATACGGAGGGGATGGTCACTTGTGTGGGTGTGGATTGGGAAGGATTGGTAGTAGAGTTTGGCGGAGCAGGATTGGGATTAGGTAAGGTGGCGGGCGGGTTGGCTAGAGTGGAGGGAACGTTGGAGCTTCGTTCCGTGGTAGTGGAGGATAGTACACTATCTGCGTTATGTGCATTTGCATCAGCGTTATGCGCGTTTGCGTCACTCATCTGAGCGGAAAGATTTACTAAGTTGTTGTTCATACTGTGGTTATGGTAAATAATAAAGGAATTTCAAAGAAAACTAGGTCGATAGTGGTAGAGGATAAGTGGGCCTGAAAGGGCGTACAGAAAGGAAGTGATGGGGTAGTGGTTCCGGGGGGAGATGGAGCCTGAGGAACAGGATCTGGGGAGGGAGAGAGCGGTGCTAATAAGATGTAGCCACCGACAACTTGCTGTCTCCCTAAAGGACTTTAGCCGCGAAATTCAACCACACCGGGCTGAGCTAAAGTCAAGTCAAACTAGCTCGCGGCTCCGATTCGAGCTAACCGTTGCTAGATCTAGCAACGGTTAGCTCGCAAGCAAGCTAAAAGCAAAAACCGGTGAGTGTGCTTCATTTTGGTGCCCTCCCGCACACAATCACACACCCCTACTTCAAACCACACCACACCGTTTAACCTCATGCCACACCGGTGTGGCTGAATAGGCTTCGCTATAGTAGCTTAGCAATAGCCGCGAGTTAAAACCGCTGGCTTTTAGCTCAACCGGTAAAGATGCTCTTACAGATACAGGGAGCATCTCGGCCGGTACTAACCGGTTCCTTGGACGACGCCCAACTCCCGCTGCGCTACCGTTAACATAGCATGATATAGGGCCCGAGAGGGATATTCTCAGTTTAGCCCCCCATTTAGCACCTCCGGTGGTGAAGCTAAATTGGGTTTGGGTAGCTAAATTTGGTTTAGTCCCGCGCTTTAGTCCCCGCGGTGGAGATGCTCTTACCCTTTGCCCTCTTTCTCCCTCCCCCACTCCCCACCACACTCCATCAATTTCCTCCCCTCCTCGATTCCTGTCAATCCAATGGCCAACCAGCAGGATGGGAAACCAAACGACCAACCAGCGCCAAGCTCATCGAGAACTAAGCAACAAGCCAGCATCCTACCCATCACTCCTGATCGAGAAAAGATGTCGAGAGCCTTGGGAGCCGCATTCCTACAACATAAGGTCCAACAACTCGAACGGAACGTAGACGACTTGAGCTTCAGAAGAGACCTCCACCAAATTCCTCCTCGTTCTCACCACCCTCCGGCTAATTCAAATCATTCTAGTAGAAACCAGTCCAAGAAAAAATCATCTCCTCAACCCGATTCAACTCCTTCCTCATCGAAACCGTCTTCTCCTGCACCCATCAAAGTTATCGATACCTCTATGCTCATCCACGCGTTGCCGATCCTCAAAAAATGGGTCCGTGAAGAGAAATTTAAAATCGTTATTCCCCTAGATGGTACGTTCTGTCCTCCTTCACAAACTTTGGCAGAGAAAAACTACTTACAAAAATGAAATCTACAATTTTTTTTTTCTCTTCTCATGAACATACACAGTGGTTTCCGAGTTAGATTTCTTGAAAACTTCGCCCCCACCGATCCATGGATTAGTCCGAGAAGCGACGTGTTGGCTAGACAAACAATTCCAAAACTCGCGCAAGCCGAGCTCGACGGGCGACCAGCCATGTTTTATCCCACAACGCACTGGAGATGAGAGTGGATGGGAAGAACTGAGCCGACGGTTCGTGGCCCCGCCCTTAGAAGAAGCCAGTATCCCGTTCATCAAAGCGCCCTCAGAGGATGAAGAACACGAACGAGTTAGAGATGGAGAGGATGAAGAACCGCAGATCGACTATCGAGCTTTGATTAGTACTGACCTCCCTCATCAATATCGCTCCTTGCTCCAATGTGCCCTTTTCTATCAACTTCATGCTCAGCCGAAACAAGAGTCCGAACTGGTGATCTTCTTTTCTGATAAACAGATATCCTCCACTCCAGCCGCCCCGCAAGGAAACACACAACATAATCATCATCACTATCATCAGAATTGGAAGCCCACTTCAACTCATTGGAAGTCGGAAAACAGTCTTCCTCAAGGCTCAGGAAATGACCAAGAAGAGGAAGAGCGCGTTGACAAAACCGTTGATCTCTCCCGATGGGCCGAGCGGTTCGAGATCAAGATCCAGAAGGTCCATCCGGCCGATCTGACCCAAGCGAAACAATGGATCCGAAGCTACAACGACAAACTGAAACAACAACAACAACAACAACAATACCATCCTCATTCCCACCGACTCGGCTCCTCATCATCTTCCAACCCCCATGCAACCTCTAATCACACCACGCCCACTCGGACAATCCACTCCAAGAAGAGTCTCCCTGGGACCCCGCGACAGATCCCTGCTTCCGCCCCTAAACCTTCCGCCCCTTCTTCTTCTTCTTCTGCTGCCGCGGTGGACAAACGTCTGTTTGTTTGGTGACTATTGGTCTCAGATCTCGCTCCGCATTTCACCTTTTCCACTTTTTTTTTTTTTGGTCGTTATTTCCAGGTGCATGAACTAAACAAGTCTTTTTTTTTAAAAAAAAAAAAAACTCTTATACATCCTTCTGCTTGATCATCGTTCTACATAGTCACTACATCAGTCTGTTATAATTTCTCGTACATCACAGGGACACATACATATCTAAGAATTACAGACCCCTCAAATCAAGTTTCAATACCTAGTTTTTGGTCTATGTAGTGAAGTAGTATATATGCAAGGGATGCAGATGATAATGGTTTATGTTTTTTAAAAAAAAACGATTTCATGTCTTGTATATATATATATATCCATTATCTGATCTTTATTGGTAATCAGTGTATAATGTATCAATTGTGATTCTGATTGTTGATAATTGTTTCCTCATTATGTCTGATATCGATGGGTGAAGTGTAAAATATAAGTTTGTGTCACACTTTACTTGAGAGAGAAGTTTGTACACTGCAGTACAGTCCATGATCTACAATTTTGTTTGAGCAGGTAAAATGGGACATCGCACACACTGGATGATCTGGTTGTCGGTGACACACAATGGGTTGGATGAGGGCCATCTATACATAGATCCAGCCATTAGGACTGGTTTGAGTGGATGAATTGTCAAAATATGGGTGAGTGTTTCTTGACACCAAGTTATGTACATATATATGAAAGGTGAGAACATCTATCAGAGTTGGTGCACAAGGATGAGGGTCATGATCATCCATGGATCATACCAAGAGGACCAACAGGGAACAGAACCCCTCTCCTTAGTTATTGCTTGAATGAAAGAGAGCCTCTAAACACTACTTGTGCCAAATTCAAGCTCCCATTGGAAAGGAAGTTGGATGGGATATGTAAGATGTGATTCCTATAATAATACAAGTATGATCAAGAAGAGGGCAATAACCAAATAAAGAAATATGTAGCTGAAAGCCATCATTCCAAACCTTGCAAAAAAAAGAGTAAGAATAAGAGATGATCATCAATGGATACAAATTGCTGTTTGATGATCATGCAGACTATGTAATGGCCTGGATAACCAGTTCCATGGAACCATTGTAGCCGTTGATTCGTAGAGGGCTTTTATGGAGCTCAAAGAGATCCAAGTGCAGTGGATGCTTGTTAGTATATAGGACTTATCCCTAATCTTCCCTCTGGGTGTTTGCTGTATGTATTTGTTGTATGCAACCACCAGATCTTCACGATCCTTTGATTGTTTTTTTTTTTGCCGACGTTGTGGGGAATGAAGAGCTTAATCGGCGAGGCTGAAACCACTGCAACTTCAAGGCCATTAAAGTCAAGTTGGTACTATAAAAGTCGGGGTCTGATGAAAACGTTTACACAAACATATTATTCGAACTGGATCATAACTCTAACTCGACCAAGATCTTTCAGAAATTCGACTGGACAGCTTTAAAACTCAAGATAAGTTTGATGAGAATCTGGCTTATCCAATGATTGGATGGGGTTGCAGTGGTCAATTGCACGGATAGTTGTTGTTGTTGTTGTTTTTTGTGTAATCGACTTTGCGGATGGAGAATTCGGATATCCAGCTTGCTTGCTTGCTTGTGTTCGCAGATCTTCTCTCTTCTCCGGTCCACTTCGGCCCTTGACTCATGACTCTTTTACGATTTCTTTAGGACACTTGCTGCTGATTTCATTCTTGACATCACTCATTTCAGTCAGTTTTGTTTTGTTTTGTTTGTTTTTTTTGATTGGGGGTGTGGGTGGGTTGGATCCGAGCAGTACATATTAATTCATCCCTTCTCCAATTCTTGTAGTCCAGTACTCCCCATGAGCTCGACAGCTTTTAAATAATTTAATAATTTCTTTAGGTCGCTAATAGTCAGAGTAAGCTTCTCAGATTCTTTGTCGATCCTCCTCCTCCTCCTCCTCTCCCCACTTCTCTAATATGATAATCGATCGACTTGATTTCGAGTATAACACTCCTCGATCTCATCCTCTTCTGTCTGTTTTGATAATAGTCTTAATTTGGAGTCCTGTTGACCAGCTCCACTCCCTCTCTGCTTACCCCATGTCGGTCGGTCTTCTTCTGTCTCTGAATCACCATCCTCCTCCTCCTTCATATCAGCCCTTAATCCCCATGGTCATTGCCATGCCTGGCTCAACCCGTCCCGACCACTTGGATTATTGCAGCCAGCTCCAATATACTCTGTCATCCTCACTCACCGCACTTCTCATCATCCACATTGCTTTTGGCTGGCCATGAGCTTTGGTATGTAGGGCAGGCTGATCGCGTCGTGATCTACAAATACATACGAGTCGTATCATTCTGTTTGTGCGTCTCGCCTAGAATATATTCTCTGTATGCGATAGTATTTATGTGCAGTCCCGACTCCCACTTACAAATACACTGCACAACAACCAAAAGAGAGGGAATTGTGGTGCTACAAAGACTAGGGTGGTGGTCTCGATTCTGGGAAACCTTAAAAAATGGTTTTGTATGATGATGATGGTTTACAACAAGATGAGTCTCCTCACCATCCCAAGTGAATTGTAATTGTTGTCTGGCCACTCATCCACCGCATCTCTTATTCATATAATCCTTTCTTTGTTTCATTCACTCCATCATCATCATCATCATCATCACCATCATCAGTGAACCCATCAGCTCGCCGGTTTCCGCTTGACTTGCCCTGTCGGATATCCTCCCAAGGGCCTCCAAGACTCCTCGTCCACTCGTCCCATATCAGATCTCATTATCAGACCGGCAAGGGTGACTACTATAATATTAACAATATACAACTGATGGTCGTCTTGCCAGCTTTTGTTGTTGTTCGAGGTAGATGATGAAAGATGTAAATTGGTGTGCCCGCCCCCGAAGATTTGGCCTCCTGAGTTGCGGGCCTGTAATATCTGTAGCCTCCCCTCCACTCCTGCGCACTGGTGGGTAGGACCATGAGATGGCTCTCCTTCTTCTTAACTCCCTCATAAAATAGACAAAAAAAAAAAAACCAAGAACCCTCAGCCTTCTCTCCCTCGCTTAAAATAGAATAGAACCCACTCAGCTGACCCTCTCCGCCCCCCCCCCCCCCTGTCCATCCAACATCATATAAATTAACAAGCTGTTTCACTTATTTTTAATCTTCTTTGCCCCTTCTCTGTTTGTTTGTTTGTTTGAATTTTTGATGACTGCTCGCCTCGCTATACAAGAATCTTTAATACATAATCCTCCACGAGCTCAAGGGATCTCTGATTAACCTTGCATCTTCTTCCCTGATCTGTGTCTGTATGTCTGGTTGTTTCAGTTTATAGTCAACCCACAGGTCGCCGAGGAGTCGATTGCGTTACCGCGCGTAATGCCTATTACGCCTGCAGCTATTATCCGAACCCGATCATGCCAATCCACAGACAGACAGCTCCTCAGCCTCCAGCTCGACCACCCAGAACACAATCCCAACCAACTCCAACAAACCCAACCAGTCCCAACAGCAGACCCACAACTGGATCATTCCCACCTAACCAGACCGACTCATGAACCGAACGAACACTATCATCCTAACATGACTCCCTCTGCTGGATTCCTCAGCCATCCTTGCCGATTCCCTCATGAGGACCACCCTTCAGATTCGCACTATCATACTCACGATCACCATCTGATTCTCTCCCCCTCCGATCAGAGGTGCTTGATGGCCCCAGTCGCTCAGATCACTCAAGAACGTAAGTCAGTCAGCCAGCTTGCTCTCTGCTTTCATCTCACTAACCATTTTCTCTTTCTTCAAGCATCCGCAGATACCTTCTTTGCTTCCCATAAAGCTCATCGCTCTTTCCGAGGCGTAGTGGAAAAGTTTCATCAAAACCCACCCAACCCACAATTCGATCAACCCTTCGATTCCACCCAATGGGCTCATTGGTCACACCAAAACGAGGAGGATATCAATCAGACCAGCGCCATGAACCAAAATCAAGTCTTGGATGGAGGACAACCCTCGACTCATTCAGACCCTGCTATCATCAGCCACCAAACCATCCAACAGCCAACCGCCCCGTATCGTACACGGTCTCTCGTTCATCGTCTGGTCAATCTGCCCGATCCCGCCGAGCATAAACCTCCAGCCCAGCCTTCTGATTCTTCAACCCTGCAGCCGTTTTTTTATGATTGTCTTTCTTCTTCTCAATTTGGTTCGTCTCGCTCAGCCAGTCACTCAAACTCAATGCCGATTGGCTCTGTCCAGGATCTGCGATCGGTCTTAAACAAGGACGAGCCCCCAGCCGATTCCCAACGGATCCAATCTACCTTCGACACCAATCGTATCAAGGATGGACTTCCGAGTAATAGCCATCACCTTCTAAACAGCCCCGAGCTTAAGACCGCTCAGATCAATCCCAACCGCTTGGCCCAAAATAATCAAATCGATCAAACTCCAGCCGACCCTGGTGCAACAGACTCAGAACACCAACCGCATACCAGCCAGTCAATTCAACCTAGTTCTCAATCCTGCAAGTCTACCAAGACCGCTACCTGTAAACGAACGACCCCTCAAAAAAATAAGGCCAGTCCGAATCATCACTTCGAACATAATTTTGCCGATCCACCAAACCATCCACCATCAGACGACGCCGCTTCGATCCTCTTGACATTATCTCGCCACGATCAACCGAAACATGGGATGTCTCTAAGACGTGGTCGCGGTGGTGCTGGCTCGCGCGCCGATCCTCAGCAAAATGATCCTTCCTCTGATTCAAGACCCCCGGCGCCTCCGACTCCCAGCGGGCCTAGGTATAGAACTCGGAGCCAAATGAATGAGGAGATACAGCAGGACGATCAACCTATTAATCAAGACTCGCCACCAGGCCCAATCTCTTCCCAACATCCTGGTTAGTCCTCCAACAATCCCCATCTCTTGACAAGTTTCCTTATTATTTAGTTGATGCATTTTTTTATTTGGCTGTCCGGATTGATAGGCAATCAACCTGCCGCCGATTCCTCCAGTATTGCTCAGGGCCAATCTCATCTTGTACCTTCCAATTTGGGCTATGGGTTTCCGACAGGTCATAATCAAAGTTTGATATCGGTATCCGGTTCAACTAGCGCTTCTACTTGCACCTCTCGTTCTAACACCGGTGATGGCTCGGCACTCAATATCACCCCCGGTCAGGAGTCATCGTTTTCTCTTTACAACTTGGTCAGTAAACCACAGATCAGTTTCCCCGGACGACTTCAATTCAAGACATCCGCTGTCTCTACCCCATTGAGTATGACACACTCCAGTACTACCAACTCGATCGTTCATAGTGGTACCGCCATGATGGATGATGACGCCAAGAGCTCGTTTTCGATCTCAACTCAAGCAACCAGTCTGATTTCTCCGCCCGGATACTTCTCCCGTCGCACTTTTCCTCCCGAGGTTCCCATCGATCCCCACTTTCCACGACTATATCGATCATTCTTTGTATCCAGTGCGTTTGGCGACCGAGAACCGATCAAATCACAAGCCGAGGCCTACAAAATCACTGTCATGAAGGCCCCTCCAAACAGTAATTTCAACACCCCTGCGCATGGCTATCTCGATTTATACACCCCCCGTTACGTCAAAGGTGTCGGTGCTGAAAAACTGGGCCTATGTTGCATCTGTGCTGAACCAAAAGATCGAGGAGGGGGAGATACAGCCTTGTGGCTCAAGATGAAAGTTAGCAGCTATTCGTACCATCTAAGCTTTTTTCATGGGATCAACAACGCGGATGGCTTGCCATTTTCACCACCTGTGGAAATCAGGCATGTCAGACGATGTCATGTGGCTGCAAACGAGAAACTTGAATTGAAAGAGGGTCGATGTCACCAGGTAAGCGCGTCCTCAGCCATGATGGATGGTCAATTTGAAATATATTAACCAATACATCCCCCCTGTGATTAGTGTAACAAGTGGGTTCCGATGGAAGGAGTCAAGATGCAAGAAGTCAAAGTGCCAGAGCTCTTTTGGTGGAAGCACGCTAAGAGGTTTGTCCTCCACCAAAGATCTTATTAGTTTTCCCAAATCAACCGGTATTACATGTTAACAAACTTTTGGTGGTTTGAAAAAAATAGTTGCCACAAGTCCCGGCTAGCTGGTGAATGTCACGTCCATATACCAGATGAAATTTTCGATCTGGTCACCAGACAACAGCCCTGTAATGGCTCTGGCGGTGGCTATTTACCCGTTTCATCATGTTCGACGCCATACTCCTACAGCTCGAACGATCTGGCTACGTCAAACTCGCCCTATGGTTCGCGTTATCACCCTGCCTCTCCTGCGCCGACCTGCGCTTCGAGTGTGTCTCAGTCAGGCGGAAGTCGAGTCCATCCTTCAGTTGCCGCTCAACGCGCAAGTGCTGGTCGCGTTTACAAGCGGAAAGCCAGCAATAGTAGTCTCAGTGGCGCACGAGCAGCTAGTAGTATTACTGGCGACCCCACCGATTCTCCTCAAGCCTCCAACTGGCAGCCTCTTTCATTATCCACCGGTACAGCGGGCTCGACCAATTCAACTCAACTCATCCACCAGCATTTTATCCAACATCCACAATCTCCGACGCCAACTCACCCGAGTCATCCTATGCCAAACGGACGCAAGACTCGCCGTTCCAACATGCTGAGTTAACCGGATATCGTCAAAAGACTCATCGCCCCTCAAAAAAAAAAACCCCCCAAAAGCCTATCGAAGGACAATGTTATAAAATCCTTCGACTCAACTGATCAGTCCCCTGGCCCCTTCACCCGACTTCCTATGAAAATGAAATCGCTTGCCGTCGCTGCTGCTGCTGCTAAAGATTCTGGAAAGATTCAAGAGTCTCTGGTCTGGATCATTGAAGGCAATTTTCAAGCTTGAAAACCATCCCGATCTGATTTCTCTTTCTTTCCCCCCACTTTTTTTTTCTTTTTTTTTTTTGACTTGCTTCAAAGTAGAATCTCATCTGCCCAGAATGAGTCGATTAACAAAAGATGAAAAAAAAACCCAAAAAAATATAGAAAAAAATGAACAAGATAATTACATAAAAAAAAAAAAGACAAATGAATGCCTGTCTGCATGTTTGTTAATTCACATCCGGCAGAATTCACACATCGCGTCGTGGTTTCCATGAAAATCAAAAGAAGAAGTCAACAGGTGGTTTTCTCCATAAGGGTCCAATTAATGATCGATCTGGCCGAGTGCGCTTTGTTTTCCGACCGGGTTCCTATCAAACTCTAATGTACTTTCCATCACTTCTTCCAATTGCCCCTGCCCCCCTCTCATTCACCCTCTCTCCCCATCCCATCCCCAAGCACACACAAGATATAATATAAGAAGACGTGAATAATATATTAAGATTTTATTAGTTGCTTTGCAAGAAAACTTATGTATGTTTGTGTGTGTGTGTGTTAGTGCGTATGCATGTGTGATCTGTGTGTGTGTATGTGCATGTGTGCATGTGTTTCTGTGGTTGGTAAAAGGTATGGACCCCCCCCCCAACCAACTCTGTTGTCAAATGCGTGCTTGGTTATGAGAAGAGCAGCAATATACCTAATAGATATTTATACCATCTTCCTTGTCATTGGTCTAAAGGCCTGAAAAAGCTTGGGTGTTGATCTACCTTCAGCCTGTCTCACTTTATTAAGCCTGTTCATGCTGATAACCGTGTCCCATGATCCATGTAGTAGTTGATACTACTACTACTACTACTACTTTATTTATGTATAGATAAAAATAAGAAATTAATACATATTCACATATACAGCTATGAATATTGGAAATGCTTGCAGGCTTTCCAAACTTTGCCTTCTTGCATTTTTTTTTGCAACCCCCAATCCACTTCATCCTTGGCCCGACCGGATGTGTGAAGTGTTGCAAACCATCAACCACCGGTTGAGACTCCCCCAATCAACCACAGTTCCATGCTTCTTGTGTTTTTTTTTTTGGGGGGGGGGGGGGGGTCATGAGTGGGTCATGTCAATTGGTAGGCCAGAGCTCCCTGACTGACTCAGGGCTTCAGAGATTGGACCAAAATAAACAAAAGTTGTGCCAAATAAAAAACGTTTGGAAAGCCCCCAAGGATTTCTAATATATATAGCTGTACAGTGGGTGGACCGTTATTTTTGGCTGCTTGTTTTGGGTTCTACAGCTTCAAAGCACAAACTCCAACTCACAAGACTTGGTGAATTGGTGCAGAATAGGTCCCAAAGAATGAATATCAAAAAAATAAGAATAAAAACAAAAAACAAAGTTTTAAATTTTGCAAAAAATCAAAAATCAAAATGTTTTGTTTTTTCCAAAAGCTTTGTTATTCATTTTGGGGGAGTCGGAGTGCTGAGAGAAAGAAAGATTGGGACATGGCAAGAATGATTATAAATGAAAAAAAAAAAAAAAATTGGAACCAAAAAAGGTCGAGCCAGGTTGGTTGTCCTGATTGGAGTCAAAACAGTAAATTCTAGTGCTTTACTACAAGACCAATGTGGACTGGTGAAATGCCTCACTCAACAGCTGTTTGAAGCCATCTAGCTGGAAAGCCATTTTTCCAAAATTTTCATTCATAATCTTTCTTCTAATATCCCAATCTTCCTTTCTCTCAGCACTCTCAATCCCCCAAAATGAATTTCAAAGCTTTTGAGAAAAATAAAAATAAATTTTTTATTTTTCACAAATTTTGTGACTTTGTTTCTTGGTTTTATTTTTTCATATTCATTCTTTGGGACCTATTCTGCACCACTTCACCAATTCTTGTGACTTCAAGTTTGTGCTTTGAAGCTCTGGAATCCAAAACAAACAGCCAAAAATAATGGTCCACCCACTGTACAGTGGGTAGACAGTGAAAAGTGGCAGCTTATTTTGGATTCCAGAGCTCTGAAACACAGACTTGAAGTCACATGAGAAGCTCGGGAAGGTGGTGGATAATAGGTCCCAGAAAATGAGTATGAAAAAATAAAGTTTCAAAATTTGTGAAAAATCAAAAATTCAACTGATTTTTCTTTTTCAAAAGCTTTGATATTCATTTTGGGGGAGTCGGAGTGCTGAGAGAAAGAAAGAATGGGATGTGGGAAGAATGATTATAAATGAAAAAAAAAAATGGAACTAATAAAGGTTTAGCCAGGTTGGTTGTCCTGATTGGAGCCAAAACAGTAAATTCTAGTGCTTTACTACAGTACAATGTGGGCTGGTGAGTGCCCCACTCAAGAGCTGTTTGAAGCCATCTGGAACCCGAGCCTAACTAGGCCTCCATGGCGGGAGCGGGAGCGAGCAGCGGAGCTGTCCACGCCAGTGGAGGCCTAAGACAGATGCGGCAATCCCCGCGTGCTGAGTTTTCAAAATTAGGCTTGAAACCCAGTGTTCTGTGCATTTTTCTGCCTATGCTCTTCTTCTTCCACTGTTATCTAGTTTACTTGTGGCCCAAGGGAGGGTCTGCTTCTTGTACATTCTTCCCTCTGCTCACATTCTGGTGTCATGTTGTGAGTTTTGATGTAGTTATTTTTGAAATGACA